GGATTTTTTATAATACAGTATAGCAACTCTGGATACTGATCTTTCACCTCTAGAGCTCGTATTGTTGTTTGTTTACCTGTTTGCCTGCTTTTTTGTTTAGAGACTGGTCTTGACTATTTTAATCAAGTCTATGTCCCTTTTGTGTGGGAGTCTCTGCACTCCACGAAGGGAGTGGCCGCCTTGGGAGTGGGGACAGAAGCCCTGTGTCCCTGGTGTTAGCAGGGCTCCCTGACCGCTCTCTCTGGTAGGCTGCCTGCCTGGGTTGGTGTCGCACGCAGCGGTTGGGCTGCACTCGCTGTCAGCCGGCTGCTTTGGTGGTTTTGTTTGGGCAGTGGAATGTAAAGCGCTGCCCACTGTAATCCAGCTAAGCCTCAGTCCCTGCAGAAACTGTTTTGGAGGCCAATCTTCAACATTATTGTGATGCCCAGAATGGCTTTCTCATCTGTTTTTCCCGGATTCTTTCAGAAAGAGCAGCTGGTCTATGGTTTAGTTTGTGGTTGGTTCTCTTGGCATGATCTGCCTCCTCTAAACTGCTTAGCACCAAAATCACCAAAATCTGCATCATTTTCTCAAATACCTTAGGCTTTTTAATTCCCCTAAACTTGGTTCTAAATTCAGTTGGTTCCTACAGGGAGAACTTTGGGGCTCTGTGTTCTCATGGCCTAGCTTTACCCTTCGGGCAAAATCTCTGAGCCATGGATCCTGAACTGGGAGAGGAGAGAGTGGACCCTCCTCAGTCGGTGTACTGCTCTGTGAGTAAGGCACCGCGGAGCCAGCTGCCTCTGGTCTTCTCAGCTTGCCTTTCCCTGCAAAGAAGCTTTGCCCTATCAGCAGGCTGGGGCAAGGCTACAAAAGAGCCAGTATTGTCATTCTTCCTCTCCTGGGGTAGAGCCGCCACCCTGTGGGTGTGGGCTGCGGGCGGGGCGGGGTGGGGTGGGGGGAAGGAAACTAAGGCAGAGATAGGAAGACCCAACCTCTCAGCTGCACCAGTTAAAATTTAGGCTCTGTAATGTGCAGTTGTGGGGAATGATAAAGGCTGGGCACTTGCTTCTCTCAAGGAGGTAGGGTCGCTCTAGACAGGTTGTTCACAGCAGAGAAAGCCCCACATACCTACCAAGAATAGCAATGCTGCCGTGCTAATGCTGGAGCAGGGAGCAGACCATGGCTCAAGGGCCGCTGACTGTTACTGTTCTCACCAAAATGGAGATTTTCTCAAATACACATTTCTTCATTTGCTGTATGCCTTGAGGGCTATATCCATAGACTTAAATGTTTTCTTAAAAAAGTTATTTTCAATAAGTTGCAGTTGTTTTATTGGGGAGCTAGTTTGCAGATCTTCTCATGCCTCCATTGTAGAAGTGGATCTTCATGCTCATCTTTCAATTCTGAAGTATTCACCCAAAGTGAGTACTCAGAAAAATATCTTTTAACAATTTAAAAAAATACTACAGGATGTCAATTTAAGTTCAATGTCATAAATTGTTGGATTATGAAGTACTTAGGGTTAGTATTTTTATAGCTCACAGTTAGCTTTCCCCTGTGGAAATCTGTTAATCCATCTACCAAACAGGTGGGAGTCTTTATTATATTCATCCATGTTGTTCTGTACATATAGTACCCAACAAACTACAGATTTGGACAAAAGTAAGCTTAAAAGTTGTGAGTACACGTAGCACAGAATTTATTCTTATATTATTATTTATTCATTGTTGTATCATTTTCCATACCAACAACTATAACCTACTTTTGCCTCTCGCTGTATGTTTTATATGTTCCCTATAGTTGCATAAACTGTGTATTAAAAATTAATATTCATTTTTAGACATATCTAAATTTTTAAAGCAAAAAAAAAGCTCAGAAGAATCTATCAGTAGAAAATACATAGCTGTATCTAAGTAATATGGTTTTAATGGTTTTTATTATTTCTAAAATTTTTAAACAACACAAATTCTAGTTTATGTAAAAGAATTTGGCTTTCCAATGGAAATCCAGCACAGTCATAAAAGGATTCACATGTAATTTGCTAATTATATGTGTAAATCTATCTGTTCTGATCACTCTTGCTGTATAACAAATTAACCGTATAACATAGCATCTTAAAACAACTATGATGACTCTGAGAATATACTATATCTGTGGCAGAAAAACCTGATAAAGGATATTTTTCCTCTATCTTTGGGAAGGAGAATTTTTTGGGTCCCCTCCAAAGGACCAGGAAGTCATTGTGATTATGTGTCTTTGAACTCTTCTAATTCCCTGCATTTTGGAGAGTGGAGACAGTTACATTTTTCAAGGAAAAGCTCTGGCTATTTAAACGCCAGGGCCTTTTAAGACGCCGGGAGTAGTCGCACCCTGGGAAAGCGCGGGGCTCCGCTGTCGGAAGAGCGCAGGTGGGACGGGTGCAGGGAGGGCCCGCGCCGCAGAGGCGCAACCCGGGGGTGTCCACACCTGCCAGTGCCAAAGGAAGCTTTGCTCCTTGAAAGGCTTCCAGGAGCAGCCTCCAGCTTTTGGATTCTCCTGCCTGATAAGAAAGAACACTTTTGTGTTCTCGAGGCTCAGGGTCACTCTAGGTATCCGTTTGTTCTCTGTAGAGGTCGGACTGAACAACTGACGTTGGCCGTGCAGGTGTTTGGCCAGCGCTAAGTGACCAGCCCCCAGTAAGAACTGCACAGCGAGACTCAGCTTGAGCTTCCCTGGTTGGCAACACACCGTCCTCGTGGTTGCACATCATTGCTGGGAGGTTGAGCGCTGGCTTTCAGATTCTAGAGCACGAGAGGGCCCATGCAAATGCGTGCCTGTCCCTGTAGGGACTCTGCCCTCTGTCTCTTTACCTTTGCTGATTCTAATATGTAGCCTCTGCTACAATAAGTCTCAACTATAAGCATAGTGTTTTCTGAGTCCTCTGAGTCCCTCCAATGAATCATTGAACTTGAATGTGGTCTTGGGGATCTCTGATGTAGGAATGTAACAAAATGCAGCTTTGCAGAAGACAGCTGGGCTCTGCTGGGAGAAGGACACATACATTAGAGGGCACAACGCTGAGAGCAGTGGCCTCAGAGGCTTAGGTGGAAGAACAGGTGCTACGTTGAGCAAATCTGAATGGATCAAACTGGCTTAGATACCAGGCATTGCAGCGGAGATCATCCTGGCCTAAAGACCCAGTGGTTTCTATTCCAAAGGCCTGCATTGTGTAAAAGTACAGAGAACTAGGAAGAGAGACTGTCCTCAAAGGAAAACTAAACTGGACTTTTCCTTAGCCAGGGAGATAGGACATCGAAGCTGTTACAGGAGAAATATATATGCCTACCTACAGATATAAAAAAAATCCTACCCGTTAATACTGTTTAATCAATGTTATCATTTGTTATCTTATTTATATAAATATTCTAAATTAGGATGGAATTTAATAATACATAATTGATAATATTATTAATATTTTGCTAAGTATACAATGTTAAATTTGAAGGCAATTTAGTCATGCATCTAAACCTTATTGTTCAATATAGTAATTTTACTTTCAGGAATATCTCCAAAGGCAATAAATTAAAATTGGGGAAGTTCAGACATATAAATGTATTCATCATAGAAAAAAATTAAAAAATAAGATATACCAAATGTTGAAGGGTTGGTTATGATCAAATATATAATAACAGATATTCTTATTTAACATCATTCAGCCATATTTATATAGAAACATGGGAAATGATTAATATGTTAACTGAAAAAGCAGAATATGGAATTACATGTTTATTTCATAACTTCATATTTTAAATTGTTTGAATACTTAAAAAGGAAGGCATGTACATTATGGTGCTTATTGATATATTATGTAGCAATGAAATTATTTTAATTAATTTGAGATAAGATAATATTAGACATGGCAAAAAGCACATATTTTTCCAACACTTATTTAATCATTATAGTTCCTTGTGACTTCAACACACACACTAAGAAAATATTCAACAATAGATTATAACGTACTTTCCTGCAAGAGAGAAAGAAAGTCGCTTGTGGTGAGAAAGCTGCTTCGCCCCCATCCCCACAGCAGGAGGTCAGGTACAAGGTGAGCTGAGGCAGACGGCGCTGCTTTTTGGCCCTCCTCGCTCTATCTTAGCATGTTTTGTATTTAGTGATGGAGTAGCAGTAGTAGCTTTTCTGGAACTTTCCTGTCCTAATCATTAGGTACCATTCAGACTTAAGGAAAACATTTCCCCAGAAGACAAAGAGTAACATAAACAATCTGTCATCATTCCTACTGGTCAAACGTAAACATTTTCCGAAGAGAGGATGGAGTTTCGCCATGGCTTAATGAAATTTACTATAATGGCAAAGGCCGTGCAACTTTAAAGCGGAATAATTTGTTCCGTGGCACAGTAGATATATTTATTTTGGGTGGAAAGCGGTTTTCAGGAAAATGCTGATCAAGAGGAATAGCGCTGGTTTCAGGGCTGGATGTTCGCTGGCAGAGGCAGGCGAGCCTGTTAGGGAAGCCGGCTGTGCTGCTTGGATACGCAGGCCTCAACAGCAAGGCAAGGCGTGCGGCGCTCTCAGTGGCCACTCGCCATCCCCCGCCCTAGTCTGGTGCGTTTCTTCCAGGCGTCTTTCTTCCTGATATGCAAAAATAGCTTCAGTTACTGCTATTTCAGTGTGGACCTCCTTTTTCCTTTCTGCGGCTGCTCTGTATTCACTTTTACGGACCTATCATATTTTAACTATTCCCTTATTGGTAGGAAAGTAACGGGTGTCCGTTGCCAGTGAAATGCTTCCGTGACCATCTGTGGTATGATGTCATTTCTGTAAAACAGCTTCCTGTGCACAATTAAAATTCAACGTACACAGGCAAATTATCCCCCAGAAGCCTGTCCCCGAATTTTACACTTGCCGGGAATGTGTGAGTGCCTAGTCTCCATTGTCCCCCCAAGGACTGTTAGAGATCTCTAAATTGTTTGCCCGTATGATGGGTGGAAATGAATCAGTGAGTACGTTAATATGAAACTGTCACACTTACCTGGCCGGGGAGACACCGAGATCAGGAGGGCGGTTTTCCCAGGGCAAGGCTTATCCATCGCACTCCGGGTGTGCTGAGCCCTGCGGCTTGTGACTGTGAGAAACTCGACGGCTTAATTTGTGGTAGTGGGGGACAGCGTTCCCACTCTCCCCTAGCTAAAAAAAAAGAAAGAAAGAAAAAAGAAAAAAGAAAAGAAAAAATATGAAACTCTGTATTGCAGGGATAGAAGTGTGTCAAAGATGCAATATTAATATTTAATGTTATTCACCCAAGTAACTGATAGGTAGATAAAAAGATAGAAAAAAAGAAGAAAGATAGAATGATATTGATTACATATATACAAGGCAGGGAAAACTGGGTTTATAATTGTTCATATAAAAATAATACAATAATTAATAAATAATAATACAAGAATAAACTGTTTCATGTACTCACAAGTGCAAGCCTACTTTTGCCCCACCTTGTATTTATATTTTGCCAGCAAACATAAAATTAGTCGTCCCTTCAACTGTGAGAGCACAAAAAGTTGGTTAATAAATTGTGGCCCTGGTGATATGCAGTTATGATGAAAAGATCAAATAATGAGAAGTGTTTTTTAATTTGAACCATTTTATTTATTTTAATTTGGACTATTTGATGGACACATTGGGCATATTGATTAGCGTCATTGCTCATGCTAAGCTAGAACACATGCAAATATAAAATGGAGGCAATGTGAATTACACGGAGTATGCAAGTGACTTGTTTTTCAACTAAATTTAGTTATTACTGGCCTAAATATTGAATTGTTTGGTTTCAAGTTAACCGACACTCCATTTCTCAAGTCAATGTTATATTCTGGCAAACATCAAAATCTGTGGATGGAATTATAAACGAAGTTTAGTTATGCATTTATTTACCAAACATTTTATTTTTCTTCATTAAAAATTTTTTTTGCCTTAATCTACTGCTTTATTCCAAACAAGGATAAAAACATGAGCTTTACTTTAAAATTCACATCTGGAAAAATTTCTCACTAACATAAAATATTTTCATTGAATTTAATTGTACATAGCAAATAGGCCTGTATTTAAGAGAAATACAGCTAAAATGATTATTGAAATTATTGAAAATTATTTGCATAACCCATGGAATCTAAGAAAACAACATTTTAATGATTTAAGTGCAACAAACCAGAAACTATTTCTATTTGCCTTTAAAAGTTTTTTTGTTGTTGTTTTGTTTTAAATCAAGAGAACAGTGTTCAGCAAAATGTATTTTAGCTTTTATTGAAATGTAGAAAAATATGGGGTTTTTCTCCTAGTTATCTTAAAGCAATTTTTAAGAACAAGTAAACTCTTGAGTTTCCCTTTTCTTTCCTGAAGTAAAAGGTGCACAGATATCCCTCCCTTCCAAATGCAGAAAAGGCAGTATGTTTCCTTTCCTGCATCTAACATATGAAGTCTTAAATCAGAAATAATTCTGTAATCTTGACAGTACATATTCTTTATGGAGAATAAGTACATGACTACTTGCAATCTTTTACAAAGTTCTGTAGAGTAAAATTAAATACATAGGTATTCCTCTGTGTGTGTGCGTCTCTTTTTTCTCATTTTTTCTTTCTAATTATTACTACCTATTCTATTCTTTGGTGGATTGGAGCTTTTTCCCACAGGAAAAAAAATAGATGTTAGTGGACACTTTCCTGGAAACTTGCCCCTCAAAGCAGATATATTTATCTTAAGCAATATATCATTAATCATCCAGCTAAAATGGCCTGGGTCATCAAAAATAAGTAAAATGAAAATATTATATGGTTTTATAAAGGTCTAAAAACTATAGTTCCTGTATTTCTTATCTTGCTAAAAACTTAATTGGAAGCACAATGTTTGTTTGGTTTTTGTTGCCTAAGATTTTTTTCTAAACTCTTTATTTGTTTTGTTCTTTGTTTTTGGATTTTGCATTTATTGGTGGAAACTTCCTACTAAACCACTTTTTTTTAAATAATATTTTTCATAGCATTTAGAGTTTACTGACACATTAGAGAAAGGATATAATAAGAAACAATACATAAATTGTCTCCATTTGTTCATATCCTCATATGGACTCTATTACAGAGAATAGCAAGTCCAGGGTATTTACCTATTTATGAATATTACAGATTCCTGATAGGGAATCAACCAGCCTAAAAAACTCATTTTTAGGAAAAAATGTTCTATTTTCTTAAACATTTTCTTTGAAAGTATATTCAACATTTACACAAGTATGATTTGCATAAATAAGGGAACTAGAAATATATTATTATTTATTTAAATTTAATACAAAGTGATAATGATCTCATTGTTTAGGGCTTTCATCGGTAGAGCACATGGAAAAAATAATTTTTCATATAATATCTCTAGATTAAAAATATGATCATAGTATTCAAAATCATACCTTTGTGTGAAACAAATCTTTTTTCCTCAAGATCGAAGAATTGTTATATTTTCTCAAGATCAAAGAATGGTCAAAATATCATTATCTTTCTTCAACTAATTTTTTTGATTTTGTTTTGTAATAATAAATGGGAAGAGGAAGGAGAGAAAGCAAAGGAAAAAGTGTTTTGCCTTCAAATCAAATGATGAGTCTACAACTAGGATCCAGATCCCAGAGCAACATGATTGCTTGTTTAGCCATAGGGACAGACCGTTTTCAATTCACATTCTCTTCAAAGATTCCATTTTGTAGATCTCCACTTGTTCTTATGACAGCCAGCGCTGGTCCAGCATCCACCGTGCATTTGAAATCCCAGCCATCCCTTGTCCTGCAAGCCTGGCCACTGACCCTGCCCTGGGGGTCCTCCAGAATGAGCCCAGCTGCAGCCTCCGTGTCTCTGCAGCCTCTTTCCGCTGCTGCCCCGCACCAGCACCAGGGAGGCGCAGGTATTACCGAAGTCAAGTCAGAAGAGACAGTTCTTTGAGCGGCCACAGGAACTGCTTCTCCAGCCAGGGCGTTAGAGCGCACCATGTATTTCTGCAGGAGCAGATTCCTTGCTGAACGAGTGAGGAAAGTATTCCCCTGAAGCGGACGAACCAGCTGGGCTGATCCCAGCAGTTCCACCTCAGTTAGTCAGCACAAGCAGATGACGTGCGCCTTCCCCTGAAGTGGGCAGCACCTACAGCCCAGGGCCCAGCGCCCCTAGTGTCAGGGTGCAGAGTGGGCCGTGCGCAGCGACCCTACACACAGGTGTCAGGGCTGTGAAGGGAGCCCTGAGCGCCTGGGAGTTTGTTAGAACATTTTGTTCCAACATAGAACTGTATTTTACTAAGAGAATTTAAACTGTGGATGTAAATTACATGGTTCTTATAGAAATAGTTACTGGCCGACCAGAGCACCTGGAATAACCTAAAGTTCTACAGAAACGTATGCTTCTCTTTTTCCAGCATGAACACCATCAGAGCGCACTTCAATATTGTGTGTCCTGGGAGAATCAAGATGTTATATAAATAAGATCCTGTGAGGGACCCCGCTCAAATCTTTTAGTATATACATAAACAAACAACATTTTTTCTACCTTTACTTGTATTATTTCTCAAATCCTCCTGTCTTTAGCATTCTATGAGCAAACACTATACACATGTATATACATATGCACATATATATGTATATGTGTGTGTGGGGGAGAGAGAGGTCTGTTCAGAAAGTATCCAGCCACGTACGATGAAAAATAGAGACATTTACTGAAGGAGACCCAAGATACAAAAAACATTGCACACAGGACAATGACACCTTAGTCTCCATCAAAGCAGGCACCTTGGGACCTTACACAGCTCTCCCAATCGCCATCAGCTGCCCTGTCATATTTTCATGAGTTTCAGTGGTGGCCTGAAATCTCTTCCCTTTCAAAGGCAATTTTTGTTTTGGGAAGAGCCAGAAGTCACAGGGTGCCAAATCTGGGCTGAAGAGGGGCTGAGTCACCTGGGTGATTTGATGTTTCACCAAAAATCCCTGGATGAGGCATGATGCATGAGCAAGCACATTTTTGTGATGAAGCTGCCAATCACCAGTTGCCCATAGCTGCAGATATTTTTATAATATTGCATCTCTCCACCAAATTGTTTGGCCTGCAGGAGCATACTCGTGGTGGACAACACCTTCCCAATCAAAAACACAGTTAACAGGGTCTTGATCTTACTATGACTTTGCCATGCCTTCCATTGAAACAACTGCACCTTCCTTTCCAGATCATAGCCATAGACCCATGATTTATCTCCAGTTATGACCTTCTTGAAGAAATCTGGTTCATTGGTAGTGGTTTGAATCAAGTCATCAGCAACTACAGCACGATGTTCCTTCTGCTCTGGTAGCAGAAGCCATGGAACGACACATTTCCATTTCCATGACACGTTTCATGCCAAGGTCCTGCATCAAAATCTTGGACACAGTAGTTTTTGGAATCCCCCAATCAGCTTCTAGTTCTCGTACTGTCAGTCACCAATCTTTGTTGATTACAGACCATACATGTTCAACATTCTCAGGTGTTCTGCTTGTTGCAGGCCTTCCAGAACGTGGATCACTTTCAACAGATTCTCAACCATCTTTGCAACATTTGTCCTGCACTTCTATCTGTGCTGCACTCGTTGAACCATCCCTGAAAGCCTTCTGAACAACCCAAATAGTCTCCACGGAGGAATGTTCAAGCTTAACACGAAATTTGATGCAGATTCATTGCTCTACTCACGCAGTCATTGTGAATGTGATGGCCATACAGTACACATGCTCACTCAATGGCATCTACCACCCCCACTGACTAGTACAGTGAAGTTGGCATTGTTCACACCTGCCCATTCCAGTCCACTCTCCTTGGCTGCCAGATTACATTGACGTCTCACAAACTACTTTTGTTATATTAACAATGGCTGGACTTTCTGGTGGACAGATATAGAGAGACAGATATATAGATAATCCATTTAGGAAAAAATCCGTATCTATATATTTATAAGGTGTCAATATATTTATATATGATATGTCATATGCATATATATCTCTGTATAGGTATGTATCTATCTACCAATCTACGTCAATAAAATGTTAGTTCTGTATACTTCCTGCCTTCACTTCCTGTCTACAACCAATGTCAGAAAGAGAATTAGAAAATTTTAGTGTTCAAAACACTTTGATTTCACAAATCAGTGA